TATATATATATATATATATTAGGGCTGTACCGGATTTTGGCTCCGGCTCCTGCTCCGGCCGAAATCCGGCAATTTTTACAAATCCGGCCCAAATCCGGCTCCGGCAAAAATTTAGCAAATCCGGCATAATTTTAGCCGGAGTTTTGAATTTTGTCAAATATTTATTACATTTTTTTTGCCCGTGTTTACATGTATACCTAATATTTTATTTATAAAAATCAATTTTTTTTTGTAATTCTATATTTTATGAATCTCATATTTGTTTTGGTATTTGTATTTATGTTTCTTTATAATTTAATAAGCTAAGTCTAATTTAAAACAACAACGCAAAAAAAAATTCTGAAGGGAAGACACACGATATTCTAGAATGATGCAGGTATAAAGACTATGATGTCAACCCTAATCAAGTGATTGGATGAGCGTTTTAAAAGCATTGAAAAGAGAAACCTCTTTATATACTGACGAGGCTGGTTGACTCACAATTTAAAACTAAATTCTCCTCATTACAGGCAACACTGACAGCTGAAAAAACAAGATTGAAGTCAATCTGAGCATGCTGAACAGAAGATTGACAAAACTGAAGAAAATCCACCAAAATAAGCCGGGCTTAATAATTTTTCTACATCATCATCATCATTACTCTGGCAATTTATTGATAAAATTATTCAGTCTACGTCCGCTGGTGGCAGGGCACATAAACAACAATTACTAAAAGGCATTGAAACTCAGCTAAGGAAATATCCAAAAGAACCAGAAATAAATAGACACAATGATCCACTACAGTGGCGGAGTGAAAAAAGATCCACTACAGTGGCGGAAAAAAAGTTAAATAGAATTACTATAAACTTTTAAAACACATAGCCTATAGAATTTCTCTAGAATTTCTATTAATTTATATATAGAAATTGCTATAAAACTTTTTAAATAACAACAATGAAGTTTAACAGAAAACAGCAGTCACTTGGTATTCTGAATAGTCCACATTGTTGACCATGCTCAACACCAATAAGGGATGTACAGGATTTTGGCTCCTGTAGTTTTGTTTTGAAATCCGGCTCCGGCTCCGATTCCGGCCGGATCTGTCAGTAGAAATCCGGCAAATCCGGCTCCGGCCGGATTTGAAAGAATTAAATCCGGTACAGCCCTAATATATATATATATATATATATATATATATTAGCCCATTCCATTTTGACCATCATGAACAAATTTTAATAGAGTGTCACAAAATATTCCCTAGGTATTGTTTTGTTAATGAAATTTTATTTTTTGTTTAAAATGATTATTTATACTCGCGCCACTCTTTTAAAGTTAAACATTTTTACATTTTTTGAGTGTTTATGGACATTTTCAAACAATCGGCGCAAATAGAAATTTACAAATCATTAACTATATAATATTGTCATTATGTAATGAGAGGTTTTTTTATCTATACCGATTGTGCGCATTTTTATTACTATTATTTTTGTTAACTGGTGGTTTTTAAACACGATAGCGTTGAGGCCCAATACACAGCAATTAGAAGTTTGTTGGATGGTTTTTATCTCATACAGGTTACTCACTTTAAGCCCTGGCTATTTAAAAGGAGTTTGTACAAGATTAGCTAAGTTTTCTGGCCGACCATCAATGTCAGAGAGCTTCATATAGAGCCGTAAATAAAACTGTTAAGCTGGAGAATAAACTATTTATATCATAAAACCATAAAAGGTTAAAAAATAGTAAGGTAAAGATAAAACTGTTTCAATTTAAAATATCTTTTTGCAAAAACAAAATGAATAAGTTTTTAATTTTAAAATTATTTACATAATAATTTAATTTTATAATTATTTACAACTGTGAACTTGCAAAAAAAAATCAGACCATTAGGTGAAAATTAACAAATACGGAGCTGTTTCACGCACCTTTTATGATATTTAAGTTGCATTTTTCTAAAATCAGGCAGGTTTTTATTCTGCGTAATAAAATATTTAAAGAGATCAATAGAATGGCTGACTAAATTTCTCTCTCCAGGGAATCACTGTGTTTGACCTGCAACTTTTCTGATTCTGCAATTCTTGAAGTAAAACTTTATTTCACAAGTTTTAATATTTTAATCTTATTATTTAAGAATAATTTATGTCAGTAACAAATTGTTTAAAAACAATGCAAAATGGTTTAAAATCAGATGCAAAATACAAAGAAAATAACTCTAAACCAAGTTTTTTTTTAATGATAGACTTTTCTTAAAATGGGTAGAATTATAATAAAAATGAAATCAATAGAAATAGCACTTTGATTTTATGTCAAAAATAAATGTAATAAGTATTTAGCAATGTTATTTTAAACCTTATTTTATCTACATTGCATTATTTTTAATTTACACTTTTAAGATCAAGAAGACTTTTAGTAGATGTATATTGAGCCTGCTGTAGAGGTGAAATTCAAATCATGATAAAACCTTACAGGTGTTTAGTACGGGTGTTAGTATCTTTTGATCCAGATCATTATATAAAAAAGGTAAAAAATTTTCAAAAACAAACGGTATCTTATATATATAAGTAATTATATATAAGTTACTGTCTTACTTGGACGTACTTGGACGTGCTGGTTTTTTCTTGCTTGGACATAATTTTTTTTTTAAATTGTTAAAAAATAAGCATAACATTACTTACTCAGTATTTCAAGCATGTTTTTTGAAAAAATAAACTGCATTGAGAAATCATTGCAAAGCAAACTTCTTCATGTATGGTAAAGTTTTATATGCATTATTCTTTTTATTATCTTAATTAATTTTTTTAAGAGATCTCTTGTTGTAAAATATTTTTTTAATCTAAGCTGATGGTATGTCAAACATAAATTATGTTAAAAATATCATATGCTTATAAAAAAAACGTGTATTGCATGCATGTCTTGTGTTTGTTTACATAAAGAACAATAGAAATATGCAATTATTTGTAAGTATTAAACCAAACTAATTAAGAAATAGAACAGATGCAATGGAAGCTTTGTGTATTAGTTTTATTCAATTAATTCAGACTAAAAATGAAATAAGAAATTAGAGATGAGCTACACTTTCATAACATAAAATAAATTTATTTATTTATCTACACTTTCATAACAAAAAATGATTTTTATAGTAAAAAGAACAGTATTTTATGTAGCCATTAGGAAATTTGACTCATTGAAAAATTTATGTGGTTCTATAGCCTGCCCTAATATATATGTATGTATATGTAAATATATGAGTGCTCATAAATAACATTTAATAAAAAATTACAAGAAGACTTGACTTACCAGTAATAAAATGTGCACTGCAAATATAAGAAAATTCTTCATTTGCAGTATGGTGCGCAACAACTTTTCACCATTTTTACATTTGTTTACAATTTTTTGCCACCCATAATGGAGGATGTAAACTTTTGCAGACGTTTGGCTCTCATATGAATATCATGAATACCAGCTTTTATTCATATATATGTACAAGTTTTTATACATATATATTCAAGCTTTGGCAGAAATAAGTGTGTAAACTGAGAAAAGCTTGAATAAATCATGCATGACTAGGCAGCTTTTTTTTAAATATATTAGTATATTTTTCTATTACCAACAATGTTCGATGTCAATATAAATTTATTTTATGTTTTAAAAACATTATCTTTGTTTAAAAATTCTAATTGAATTTCATAATAAAGATTTTCAAGTAATTTTTTTTCAGAAGCAATTTACGCTATGGGTGTCCTGAATAGAATATCTGGCTAGATACCCAAGCCATATATTTATATTATATGATATCCAGTATCCTGCTGGATGATAAAATAATCTGATTGGTTACGTTGGATATTTCACGTTAATTAATAATAAGAAAAAAACTTGTGGTAGTCTTAAAGATAGAGAGTTTAGACCTGATCAAACCTTTTAGTAACAGAATGAGAGAACCTAGAACACAAATTCTAAAGTGTCCCTTTTTTTAAAATAATCTTATGTTAGTAGATTCAAAAAAATTTTCTTTTAATTTAATAAATAAGATTTAACTGTGCACAAAACTATAGATTTTATCACTCATAAATTTATTTGTAATCAATACTTTAATTGAAATTAACATTAATAGTGAAATAAATAAGCAAATATCTTTGATAGACATTTGCTTTATTATTTCACATGCTTTGCAATTAACATGCTACTTTCACAATCTTTGCAATTAACATGCTACTTTTGGAATAATCTTTTTTTGGCATTGAAAAAGTCAAAGGTTCAAATTTATTTATTTTATTTTTGAACTATGTCTTACTTAGAGTATTGGTTTTAAGTATTTTTTAAATGAAATTTTTGACTTTCTATTCTACATAGAATACAATAATTCTACATAGAATGCAAGTTGTTGTTAGTTCAAAGGGACCATTTATTTCCAAAAAAAAACTTTTTATTTCAGAATGTTTACCTTAGCAGTATTTTAAAATATTTGACTTATCAAAATATGCATTGTAAGTTTTTGAATAAAAATACCTGTCTATAGATAATTCTAAAAAATGTCCAAATATTTCAAAAATACTATCTGGGACATTCCTAATTTATGCAACTACACTTAATTTATGCAACTACACTATTAATTTATGCAACTGCACTATTAATTTATGCAACTACACTATTAATTTATGCAACTACTCTATTAATTTATGCAACTACTCTATTAAACGCATTCAATTAAAGTTTAAGTAAAATTAAATAAAATAAAAAAACTTTGAATTTTTTTTTTTTTTTACTTTTGTATGGAAATAAAAATAATGGTAGATCTATTATTCTCTAATAGAAAATCTCTTAATGCAACAATAGTTTTCTTGTTCATTAATTTGACTGAAATCTTTTTAGTTTTTTAAGGAGTTGGTGCAAGCAAGAGCCATAGGTTGCCATTATCGCTAAGGCCTAGTATTTCCTGATATAGTATCATCCTCTAATGGTATAACCCTAATATGAATATTATTCTTTGAAGTTTTCAGAAATATATTTATTAGTTTATTTTTAAGGCGCTTTCTACCTTATGTGATATTAAAGTTGCCAATGGTATCAGACCACTTTGCAGTTTGGTAAAACATAATTTATTATGTAAATGTAATTATGTCAAGAAATATGATTAACTGTAAATTATGTTGAATAATAATAGTTTTTTTTTAATTAATTAGTTAATTTTTTTTTATAAAATTTTCAAAATGTTATTTAGATGACAAGTTTGCATAACTGGTTGCCACCCCCTATTTCAATGGCAAGTGGGCGAGAAATTCAAATGTTCTCTTTCCTGGGACCTTTCTTGCAACTCTCTGTTTTCTTTGATGATGATGTAATAGCTTGTTTTATTTTGTTGAAGTTTTTTTTTGTTTTTGCTGTTTTCTCTCACTTTTTTTTTTAATTTTAGCCTAAAGTAGCAAAAAAGTATTTTCCTGTTGGCAAGCAAAGCTCAGATAATATGCTGTTAACTCGATCAACACTTCGTACACACCTTCAGCTTGTCAGGGTAAATTAATCTTGTCAATATTCTCTTAAGTTGATAATACTGTGTGTTTCCAACTAGAAAGGAATGAGTAGTGCTAAAAATATAGAGCATTGGAATAAAAATTATATTTGTATATAAAAGAAATTTAAAGGCAGTTTATGTATTAATATAAATATATATACACACACAGCGCTTTCAAAAAAATATATAAACTTTTTTTGTTTAAAGCCTATCTAAAGTAAATCATAAAACATTAAAACAAAAAAATTATAAATTTTCGTTCCTTTTTAACCTCTGTCAACTTTTTCCCAAACTACACATCTTTTTTGCTTTCAAACTACACATCTTTTTTGCTTTCAAACTACACATCTTATTTGCTTTCAAACTACACATCTTTTTTGCTCCCAAACTAACTATCTTTTTTTTCTTTCAAACTACACTTTTTTTCCTTTCAAACTACACGTAGTTCAAGTAGTTCAAGTGTTATTTCAGTTTTTTTTTGTTTTTTTGTTTGTTTGTTTTTTTGAGTAATGCAGCTGAGTAGTAGTATCTAATTAATTTTTTTTTAAAGTCTGAAATGTTCAAAGTGGTTCATAGTTTATTGGTAACTTCTGAATTAAGAGGGCACTGTCTTGATTACTTTGCTGCAGTTCTAAGTAGAAATTCAAAAAAGAATCAGCTTCAGGTAACTTTATAAATATTTTTAAGTTGTTTTTTAGAATTAAGTAATAAAATGGTTTCTTTACAAGCCAAAGAAGGGCTGAATGGAGCTCAATGGGATGGAATTTGGACTTAGTAGACAACTAACGTAAATCAAAATAACTGATGTGTAAATTTAATATAAATATAAGCTAAAATATACATTTAAATAATGGTTAAGAAAACTAATCTTTAAAACATCTCATTTTAAGTATTTTTGATATCTTCTAAAAAATTGACAAACTTTAAAAAAGTTCCTTCCATAGTGAAGAATTATGGGTGAAAAATGATTTTGAGCTTTTTATATTACTATCTTTTATTTTTACACAAAAAGTTAATATCAATTAAGTGTTTTGTTAAAGAGAATACCATTTTAAAATTTTAATTCAAAAATTTATTTTTACTAACTTTTGATTGATTGGACATTTTGTTTAAATTTTTAGAGTATTATACTCTCTTTTTCTATAATAATTTTTTGAATGAACAAACTTATCCTATTCAGGATTCTTAAAAAAATATATGATAGATTTCTTTGTAAAACCAAGTTTTTCAAAGAAATCTGTAAAAAAAAAATATATGATAGATTTCTTTGTAAAACCAAGTTTTTCAAAGAAATCTGTAAAAAAAAAATATATGATAGATTTCTTTGTAAAACCAAGTTTTTCAAAGAAATCTGTAAAAAAATATATATGATAGATTTCTTTGTAAAACCAAGTTTTTCAAAGAAATCTGTAAAAAAAAAACAGTTTACAGTCCTTGTTTTAAAGCATTACGCTTCTGGCAATTTAGGTACATGTTTTGTACTTGTTAGGTTACAGTTAGGTACTTATTAGGTTACAGTTAGGTACATGTTTGGTACAAATTAGGTACTATTTATGTATGTCTAAAGCGATTTCCATTATGCAACTTTTTATAATTATTTAACTTTAAAATAATTTGATAAGTGGTAAGATAAAAGAAGTAATGATAAAAACATTTGAATGTTATGTAAAAAAGTTTGTTACAAAAGTTTGAATGACAATTATGTTAGATAAAAGCACTTTTTACTAATGAAAAAAGTTCAGATAAAATTAAAAACTAAGAAAAAATTAGTCATTATGCTAAATATTTTATCGAAATATTTAGTAACAGAAAACAAAATTGTTTAAAGTTAACGACAAATTATTTTTTTGTATACGAAGTTATTAAACGAAATGTAATAAAAAAACCTAAAGAAATATGTAGTTAAAATTTTTATTTATCATTTTCCTAGTCATGAATATTCATACAACTTTAGCCCAAGAATATTCATACAACTTTTGATTGCAATAAAAAAAAATTTACTTAAATTTCTAATTGATAATAAAAGTTTAGAAAAAAAAAAAGAAAAGTTAAATTTTGTTTATATAAATAAAATATCATAAAATAAAATCTTTATTTTATTTTATGATATTTTATTTATATTTTGTTTTTATTTTTGTTTTATTTTAACAATTAATTTTTTTTGTTTAAAAAACTCTAGAACTTCAAGCTTGAAGCAAAGATAATATATAAAATATATAGTAAATATATAGTTTAAAAAAATATAATTTAGAAAAGTAAATATATAATTTAATTCTGATAAAAATTATATGATTTAAAACTAATTTAATAAAGATTTATAATTTTATTATGATTAAAAAAATATATTTAAGTTTTTATAACACATAAGTTTAAAGCTCAGTGATTATATTTTAATGAATAGTAAATAAAGCAATGTAGTTTTAATAAATGGTGTTTGAAAAAAGAATTTTTGCTTTCACAGCAAAATTACTGATAAAGAAAAAAACTTTTAATAAATAGATAATTTAGCATAATTTTTTTAGTTGTTACTTGCTAATTATTTAAAAATAAAAAATTATTTTTAGTTGCAAAACCGCAGTTAAAAGTTTAAGAAATGATGATTTTATAGAATTTAGCATATTTTAATTCATTTATACAAATGTTGAGAAAAGAAAGAAATTTGTTTATATCAAACATTTTTAAAAATGTAATAATAAATTTAGTTAGTTAAATAAAAAAAAAGTTGAAAGAAAATAAACATTTTATAATAGCATTTCTACATTTATTTAACTAGGGTTTCTGAAAAACAGTGGTTTTTAAAAAACAGGTATTTTACTGTTTTTTAAATTTGGAAAATTTTTTATTTATAAATGAGTACTTGAAGATAAGGCTGTCAACAGGAAACCAGGTACCCGTCCGTTGGTTACTGCTCAGGCAGCATTATCAAAAAGCGGGTAACCGCTGTCCAAGCATAAAAACAAAATGTTTCAATTTACAAGTTATCAATTCTAATTTTTTCAATCTTTAATTGGAATAAAACAATTTAACAAAATGAAATAGATATGTAAAATAAGATCTTGAAGAAATAGTTCTAATTTCTTTATCACCGTTACAAATTTCTGAAAAATTGAACAAAAACATTCGGAAAGTTATTTAAGTTTCTGATTTGGAAACCCACCTTTTTGTATGAAATGTTTTTAATGAACTAGCATTGCTGTGCACAGCCTACGAAGGGTTTGAACATGTGGATGAATTCGCATCTTACCTTTTGGAAACACCATTGACCGTCAATAGAAATATCTTAGAGTTTTGGCGAGATAACACCAAATGTTACCCAAAGCTTTCTATTTTGGCTTGCAAGTACATGTGCATACCTGCAACTATGGTGCCAGCAGAATGCGCTTTTTCAACTGCTGGACATGTTTTCAATTGATGGCATGCATAATTGGCACCGGAAACAGTAAACATTTTAGTTTTTCTTAACTGTAATTGGGAGTTGTGTATCCTGGACACTTAATGTAAAATAAAGTTTAGATTTAAGTTAAATTTTAAATGAACAACATCATTGATTGAGACGTTTTTATTTTTTTTTATTTTTTATAAGTACAAAATTTTATAAGTACATATTTTTTATAAAAAATATTGTTTTTTAATGGGCACCTGCTGGTTCATTCAACGGGTAACCGAACAAGCATTTTTGTGATTTTTGACTTACTCATAGGTGCTTAATACACAGAAGGAGGGCATTTGTTAATTTTCAGAAAATTTTCCCACTAACTAAATCTACCCTAAATTCTATCAAATTTATCAGTGGCTTAAGCATTATTGGTATTGTGTTCCAGAGTTTTTACATCAAAATGGAGTTCAATTTCTTTTCCAAGTAGAGCCTTGACTTTTGATTGAAAAACTTGATTTCGAACACTTGACAGTTTGGTGTATTTGATCAACCTTTTGTTTGTTCTTAAATAAATTATTGTAGTCCATATCATCATCATTAAAAACTTCAAAATTGATGCTTTTGTCAAAAGAATCGTTTTCATTATTATCATTATCACAGGTGCTGTTAAATCTTTTATATCATGTTTTTTCTTGTAAAGTGTGTCACATACTCAAAGATGTAGACCATGGTGTAGGAAAAATTGAAAAATAATATCTAAATTTCAAATATGTTTCTTGTTTACAGATGCTCCATCTTGTGTAGATACAACAAAATCTTTTTCGTTGATTTTCCAAAAACACTTAGATGTTGTTTTATTATTTCAACCATATTGAGTGCACTGCATAAAACCAAAATTTGAGTTAATTATGTTTTATACTTGATATTGTCAGTTTTATCATAAATATTAACAAATTATCTTTGTCCTCATAAAGTAGTTGCTTCATTGACAGTCAGTTTAAACTTTACATTATTGGCTAATTTTAAATTTATTATGTCAATCTTTTCTTTTTTACTTTTTATCAAAATCTTTGTGCAGAAGTTTCATTACATTGTTTTTTCTTAGCAGGAAGTTTAAATCCATCTTGACCTATTGAATGACAACAAATATATTTATTTCTGTTTATGGTTTGAATTGAAAGGCCATTCAAAGCCAAATCAGAGACAATATTTTTAAGATCCTTTCGCGCAAAGAAGTTGCCAAAAAAATTTTGTCTCGTTTCACTTGCTTTATCATCTGATAATGTGATTGTTCTGTTGCCTTATCTAAACAGGTTCTGTGATTTTTTAAGTGATTTTTCAGGTAGTTGTAGAATTTCTTAAACATTTTATTATTTTATTACAATACTGACACTGTTACAATACAATACTTCAATTTTGTTGCATATGTCTAGACTGACAAGAATAAGGATATACAGTAGTGGCCATTGAAATAAGTCACCTTACGGTTTTTGGTTAAATTTAGTATAACTTTGAATGTGCCTCTTTAATATGCAAAGTATTATATGTCAATGTCATTAAATGAATCAAATTAAAATTTTTCGCATATCTTTGTTTAAAAGACTTCATCAACGCTTATTAAAGTTCTTTTTTTAAAGTAAATAGTAAATAAGTTAAAGTAAATATGGGTAAAAAGGCAGATTTGAGTGATTTTGTTAAAGGTCAAGTCATAACTTTGCATGGTGAAGGTACTCACAAGTTGTCATTAGTAAACGTCTGGAAATATCGAGATGCGCTGTACAAAACATTATAAAATTGCATGGGAGTTCTAGACGTCAAAATTGCCACAGCAATCGCAAAACTACATCCCGTGATGATCAATACCTGAAAAAGTATTATGCAAGCCAGACCTCACACTTCCTCTGTCCGAGTTACCCAATTGGCCACGGAAAGAGACAATATTAGTGCCAGAAGTGTTTGCAGATGTCTGTCTACAGAATTTAAACTGCATGCGCATAGACCAGCAAAGAAACCATTTCTCACCAAGAAGCAGCTTCAGGCACGTGTGAAATTCCGTCGTGATAGGAAGAACAAAACTGCTGAGAGGTGGACTACTGTGATGTTTACTGACGAAAGTACTTTCCAGCAGCTTCGTGGTTCAGGGTACAATTATGTTCGTCGACCGGTAGGTGAAAGACTCAACCCTAAATACACTCTGAAGACCGTTAAACATCCGCCATCTGTTATGGTGTGGGGAGCTATCTCAGCTAAGGGTAGATGCAAAATCCACATCTTCGGTAAGGACGAAAAGGTCAATGCTGCAAACTATATACAGGTTTTAGAGTCAAATGTTAAGACGCATATGAACATTTCTGAAACTACCATCTTTCAACAAGACTCAGCACCATGTCATACTGCAAAATCAGTCAAGTAGTGGTTTCATGACAACGATGTGCAACTTTTGAAAAACTGGCCCTTAAATTTGCCTTTATTTAAACGTTATTGAAAATTGTTGGAACTTAATGAAAGCTAAAGTGTCAGCAAATCGTCTAATGCCAGAGGAACATTTAAAAGATGTATTGAAGCAGGTGTGGGTAAATGAAATTTCTCTAGAGTACTGTGGCAAGCTTGTAAAAAGTATGCCTTCTCGTATACAGACTGTATTGAAAAATTGTGGTTACCTACAAAATACTAAGATTTTGAGACTTTTTGTTGATGAATTTTTAAAGTAATGCTGCTAGATATGTTTTAGATCATTTTATAATACTAATAGTAGATATAATACGATTTCATAAAAGAGAAACTGGACTTGTTTAATTAAAACTGCAATTCTGCTAGGTATCTTACTTCAATGGCCACTACTATAGATGGTAAAAAAAGATATTAAATAGCCTTTTTACTAACTGTTTAAAAAAAAAGAAAATTTAACTTTGCAACTATTTTTAAGTTCATGTGAATAATTAACTAATGCTAGAAGTGCTATTAAGAACTTAAGAAACTTTTAGTACTAGATTAGTAAAATAGAACCATTAAAATGCAACTCCCTAGTAATAGCCTGTGTTCTTAGTTTTTCTTAAAAAAGTGATTACTACTAAACTAAATTATTAAAATTAATTTTTTTATCCGAAAACGACTATTAAATTGCTTTATTAAATGTTTTGTTGTAGAAACTTTTCTTTTAGTAATTTTAATATATTTATTTATTTGAAACTTTTATCTTTAAATGAAACTTTATAAAATTATAATATTGAAAAAGATTTAAATTGTTATGGCTAACATATGAAAAAAGTTTTTAATTTTTAGTCACTTTATATTTAATTAAAAAGAAAAAAAGAAAAAAGATGATTTAAAAAACAGATTTTTTTTTAAAAAAAAACCAGCTGTTTTACTGTTACTGTTTAACAAAACAATACAATTTATTATATTATATATAACTAGCTGTAAGCAACCCGTAATACGGGTTGCTTACAGCTAGTTATATATAATGTAATAAATTATATATATAAAATCTTGAATAAAAAATTTAATATATCATAAATATTTAAATCAAGATTGTATAAATGTTTTTTGATGCGGTAAATTTGTCTCACTGTGTAAAGTATGAATATTTTACGTGTTATGTCTAGAAAAATAATTTTTTACTCTGGAATCAAATGTCAGTTATTTATATAATAAAGCTGTATCCCGTATTTTAATTTAAACAAACTTTTTAGTTAAGATTTCAAAGTAAAGTTAAAAACATGTCATTAGAGACCGTTAAAGTTGCTTCGTCCACCTCAATATTCTAGATGTTTTTAAACATAATGTAAATATATAATTAATAAAACAATAAATCTTGTAAAAAAAGTTTAAGTTAACTTTATATTTATATAAATAATATTTTAAAACAAACAGTGTTAACAAACATTTTATGATTTCATTGCAGTAGTTTAAAAAATTTGATGTCTTTAAAAATAAAAAAAATTTTATGACCTCAAGTTCATATTAAGCTGATATGTTAAGCATTTTTTTATTTAAAACAAGGCCTAAATTTATTTTGCAAAGTTGAGTGATTTAAACATAAATGTAATTTGTGTGATAAAGGCTAAGTAAGTTTAATACTTACTTAGCCTTTATCACACATTTTTTAGCCTCTACAGGATAAAAAGCAAGTTAGATAATGTAAAGTACCAATGCTCACTTTGCATACTTGCACATGACGCAAGTAGCTATTAGAAACTCAACTTGTAAACAAAAGACTTAGTAAATTATGCAGGGATTTTTCTTTATAGATCAGGTGGTTTATTGTTAAGTCTTTTTAAGCTTACTTTAGAACTTTAAATATTGTGAAGTCTTGTTGGTCTATATAATACTAATTCGAAAAGAGTAACATCTTTTTTAAAAAATGGTAAATTCAAGATAAAGGGTTTCAAAAATGAAAGAATTCAAGATGAATGAATTCAAGATAAACATTCAAATAACATACAAGATGAGAACACACTTCATGTAGCAAAACTTACAGCATTTTAACTATATCAGCATTTGGGAATGAAAATGTGTGTCTTAAAGACATTTTCATTTGCTAATTTTTGAATATTTTTCAACATGATAAAGATGGTATTAATTTTGTTAGATTTTTTGTTGTTGTTGTTGTTGTTGCTAGAGAGATTAGCTAGTTTTGCCATAACCATTGGTGATCAGAATAATGCTCTTCAATGAAGGCAGCTAGATCCTTTTCAAAATGCTTCTTTAAGAAAGACAATATTCTGTTAAATTGATATTTTTTCAGTATAGATATATTTCATTCACTATCAATAAAGTAAATATGTTTATTTTGATAAAAAATGATGTTATAGAGTTATAACTATTGTAACATTAAGCATACGTTCAACATATTAGCCTGAAATTGTGTATAATTTTAAATAAATTGTTTTAATTGTGCAGCATTTATAATGAATTGTTTTAATTGTGTTCCATTTATAATGAATTGTTTTAATTGTGCATTATTTAAAAATCATAGTTGAATCTATTTTTACAGTTTTGAGTTTTTATTACATTTATTTTTGAAGAATAAGATATTTTCACTGTCTCTTCATGGCTATGAGGACCTTTAGCACATTTCATTGTGTTAGAGATGCTGCTTTCGGCCTAATTTGGTTGTTTATTTTTTTCAACATGTTTTACTATTTGTGGTTTTAATTTTTATTCAACTTATTGTTAAATGTGTAGTAATTGTTTTATTTTTTTACCTTCAGGTTAATGAAAAGCTTTTGGCATCAGATGGTTTTATGTTAAATGTCTTATCAATTCTTCAGCATCTTTCTGTGAAAATAAAATTAGATAAGGTTTAAAATATGAATTATAATGTAGATTTGTTTTTCCTTTTTTGTTTGCTTTTTGAATTATTATTATTTTACTGCAGGTGGATCTCCATTATTTACATCACCCACAATGCCGCTTAAATACTTCACAATTTTCACCAATTAAAGCTAAAAAAGAAGAAATTAATGCATTGAAAGAAAAACTAGGTATTTTTTAATGTAAATATAAATTTTTTAATGTAAATATAAATTTGTTAATTATGTATGGTATTTATTTATGGTAATGGTTATACTGATGTTTTTTTATACAGACAAACTAAATAATTGGGTTGAGCCAAAATTTCCTACAGAGTGTTTCTTCCTAACATATCATTGTCATCATATTTCTGTTATACCAGCTACACGGAAATATATTCAGCGCATGCGTGAAATTCGTGATATGAATAAACTTATTAGTGAGTTAGAATTGCGAGAAAATGATTGGAAACTTGCGCCTTCAGCTGCAAGAAACAGGTTGCTTTTAAAGAAGTGGAAAGCTAAAATTCAGGTTTTGCTGTATTTTTATTTTTATTATTAATTTTTTTTTTTTTTATTGAAAAGATAACCACTAGTTATTTCCAATTAAAGTTGCATCAGATTTAACTATGTTTGGAGTTCAAGTTTTAATTAATCTTAAAGAAAAAGAGCATCATTTTTAGGCTTAACCCAGGTACAGAGGTGAGATCATGATAAATATTGATTACTTGTTCCACACAACCAAAAATGTTAGTTTGTTTGGAAAATTGTTAATGTATATAATGTATAAATTATATAAAGATGTAAAACAGTTGTTGTTAAGGCTCACAGACATAATTGGATTTTTTTTTTACAAAAAAAAAATAAAGGGTTATGACCATAAACAACAGGAAGAGGGGTGGTAATACATTATAACGGTTTAAATTAGGAGTGTGATATTAAAGGTGGAATATGTGGTGACACAAAGGTATTAACTCAAATAACATGTGGTAATGGGATAGCTGTGGTGTTTGTGGGTGAGATATCAATGAGATTATATAATTTTTCTTAAATTATCAATGTGGTGTTAAGCATTAAATGGGTTGCAGTATGAGGGATATTAACGGATGGTATAAAAAGTGGTAATACGATGGTGCGGTGGTAGTGGATGGTTGTATAAGGGAGAGGTAACCATATTGAATATATATTGATTTTTTTTTTTTTAACTTTAAATGATTAAATGTGGTGACTTCGAAAGATTAAGTTCTGTCACTTCAAGAGATTATAATCTGTTACTTTGAAAGATTAAATTTGGTGACTTCAAAAGATAAAATTCGGTGACTTTAAGAGATGATGATGATGATGATGATGATGATGATGATGATGATGATGATGATGATGATGATGATGATGATGATGATGATGATGATGATGATGATGATGATGATGATGATGATGATGATGATGATGATGATGATGATGATGATGATGATGATGATGATTGATCCAACAGTATAGAACTTAAGATGAAACCTTGTTGTACCCCTGAAGTTACTAGAAATAAATAAGAGTATCTGAATAATTAATTAATCTTTTTATCTGGGATGTTAGGAAGTGTGGTCATTAATATTTTGATCTGGGATGTTAGGAAATATGGTCATTAGAATCAACAAAGATAAGGAGAAAAGTACTTTGAAACCAAGGAAAAACTTTTTCCTTGGTATATTTAATAAAATCTAAATAAAAGATGAAAAGGAGAAATAATATTCAATTTACTTTTGCTGGTAGTATTTTTGAAGATATTTTAAATATATGTCTAGCTTCTGAGATAAAATACAAAATTTATTTGACTTATGAATAGAGTAATGAACCTTAGCAATAGACAATTACTTTTTTTTAACAATTAGTTGAAAACAAAAAGACATTTACAGAAGAATTAGTTAGGCAGGTTATACTTTGTTACATATTATCAGTAGCAAGCTGATCTTGACCTTTAATTAGCTTTTGTTTAGATATTAATAAAGCAGCTTTTGTTGCAATTGCAAATGTTTTGTAATCAACATTTTTGTTATCAGTACCATCTAGTTAAAATTTTATTTGTAATTTAGAATAAGTTCTGGTCAAAAATTAAAAGAAACCTTCAGGTATTATTGTAATTTAAATTTGATTGAAAATGAAATTTGAATTTTTTTTAGGTTTTAACAACTCAAGATGCATGTGCAGTAACTGGACTTGTTGATGAAAATTTGATGCGTAGATGTCTTCGATTTTATAGCAATGCAGCTGAGTGGCTTCTTTCTCTTATTTTACAAGATAGATGCGAGCTATCTTCAGATTTTCCACAAAATGTACCAATAGAATTTGGAGCACTACCTGATTACTATATAGAAGATATGATAGAATGTTTATTGTTTATTGATTTGTATGTTTGTTTTTTTATTTCTATATTAATTGAAGTTCAATAAGGTTCTTTATATTGCCTAAATTAAATCTTTTTTAAATTTTAAAATTTTAAATTGAATCTTTATAACCAATTGATTAATTAGTTAAAAGTTTTAATAAATTTTAATAAGTTTTAATAAATCTCATAAGATTTTATGAAAGTTATAATAAGTTAATACTTAATCTTTACTCATGATGATTAAATAAGTAAAAAAAAAGTTTAAACACACAAAAATCTTCTACTCTAGGTCTTAGATTCTAGTAGTAAGAGAGTATTATATTATTTGATTTTATACATGCAGATGTTATATATATTAAGTTATGTTTTTTAGTAAGCTAAAAACAAGTAGTTTTGACATATTGATTTTGATAAAACCTGATGAAAAATTGATTGCATTTTAATAGGTGTAAAGGATACAGAAGTATTATGTGTAATAGAGTTCATTTATAGGCTGTTAAGTGATTTAACATAGAATAACCTAAGTAGTAATTTCTCACCTGAGTGAGAAATTCTAAGAAATTTAGGATCTATAGAAATTTTTTTTAGATTTAAAGTGGAATGCAAACATCTAATTCTATTATATTTTATTGTATTATGTTATTATTTTATAGCATAGTATTATATTATATTTTCATATTTATTATATTAGTATACCTATGATTTTAAAAATATTCTTCACATTTTTCAGTCATATGCCTCAAATTCTTGATGATGCGTATGTAGACAATTTTGTTCCACTTCTTGTTATTCTCATGTGCAACTATAATTATATTGCTAATCCATATTTAGTTGCTAAACTTGTTGAGGTATTAACTTTTATTCTTTCAATTATTTCACTTGCATATTTTTATCATATTATTTCAATTATTTTACAAAATGTTTGAATTGTTAAAGGTGGTCATATAGAAAAAATAGTTATTTTTTCAACTTTTTTTTTTCTATAATTATCTTTTTATGTTAAATTTATCTTTTAAAATATTTTTTATGTTTATTACTATTATTTTTAATTCTTTTTATGAATTTAATTTTTATTAATTTTTTTGTTATTAAAATTTCTTGTTATTGAATATTTTTTACTATAAAAATTTTTACTATAAAAATGTTGTTTTTTTTTTTTCATAAAATGATATTGTTTTCATATTTTAAAATGAGAAAAAAAAATATAAAGTCTGTACAATGGAATAAATAAAGATGTTGCTGAATTAATGTTTCAGGTGGTTTTTAAGTTAAATTTATTGTTTAAAACATTTTTTTTTAATTTTGTTTTTTGTTTTTATAAACTTTTTTTTTTCTTTTTTTTTTTTTTGCAACTTTAAAACTATGTATCTCATAATCTAGAAAACTAAAAATAATTTTAAAATTTTTAAAACATAAGTAATTATGCTTTTAATGTATAGTTTTGTTATTTTTTTGAATATCAAGTCCTTTTTTTTTTTTTTTTTCAATTCTGATTCACTCCCAACGAGGCTGCAAGTAACCACTAAAAAAGAATAGAGTTATAGAGCAAAGAAGAAAATAAATGGTTGACAGAAGATTTCAAAAGTTGTAGATTGTATGAGTCAGGAAAACATGAAGATGGGAGAGAGTTCCAAAGGGTTGAAGTGCTGGCTAAAAAAAAAATGTGTTTTAGTTGATGGAAGAAGATATAATAACTCTGAGCAGCAACCATGATAATATTTGTAGAAAAGAGATGAAATTTGATGACAAAAGGAGAGGGGCTCCAGCTTGACAGCGGTTACGTCTACATTTACAATCCGTTTTTGGACTTTTTCTTAAAGAGAAAGAACATCGTTAAAATAACCAGCCCAAATATGACAACAGTATTCCATATAGGGACACATAAGAGGTATAGATAGAGAATAAAATCAGGAGTAAGAAAACGATGAGCATGATAAGGAGAAGCAACCTTAGCATGTGCTAATTTTGCATTCGGTTGTATATTTGGTTTTCATGAAAGGTCAGTAGTGAACACTAATCCAGGAAGCTTTTAAGAACAGGACTCAGTGAGAGCGTTGCTATTTATTAATATAGAAATTTCCAAAGTGTTGCAATAGTTGTTTGCATTAAATAACTGTGTTTTGTTAGACTTAAAATTTTAAAGACCCAATCTGTCACAGAAGTGAGATCAGATTCAAGGTCAGCTGCCTATTCTAAGGGATCAAAAAGAGAAGTCTATTTGTCAAGACAGGATTATAAAGTTGAGTCATCAGCAAAAAGAGCTACTTTAAATGCAAGGATGTCAAGAAGATCATTAATTTAAATAAGAAACAAGACATGTATAGAACTATGAGGTACCCTAGAAGTTACTGGAAATAAAGAAAAATGTTGGCCTTTGAGGATAACTCTAATAAAGCGTTTAGAAAGGAACGATTCAATAATCTCAAAAACTTTCCTAGATACACTATATGAATCAAGCTTATGGAGAAGGCTAGCATGTCAAACTTTGTTGAAAGCTTTAAATATGTCAAGAGCAATAATTCCCGGCCTCCATGTAATGTATGATAAAATCTTACATTACATGGAGGCCAAGTCAGTTAAGAGCGAGAAGATCGAAAACCATATTGGTTGTTTGACAGTCAGTTAATTAAATCAGAATGGGGTGTGAGAAATTTTTTGATCAAAGACTCAAAGACCTTGCTAATAACAGAAAGAAGACAGATCAGAAGATAATTGGGGTCAGAATGTTCTCCGGAGTTTTTGAAAATTATAACAACACATGTTATTTTTCTATCAGGCAGGAAAACAAAACTCAGTCAAGCATTTATTAAATAGTTTAGAGAGAATAGAAGAGAGTTCTGGAGAAAAGTTTTGTAAGACTGACAGGAATGTTGTCTGAACCACAAGCCATGGAAGAGTTTAATTAAGATATGACTGGCATTGGTGCTGGAGTCATTTGAGTTTCTAACAATGGGTTAATCTGTTTAAATGAAATGGAAGGAGGAAAATGGGCATAAGATTCAAGAGTTGAATTGAAAGGAAAGTTCTTTGCAAATAGTTCTGCCTTATCCTTGTGAAAGATAGCCCCATGAATGAGAAAGGAATGATCAGTCCCATTAAAGATTTTTCAAAAATCTTTGTAGCCTAACTTTTGAGATACGATACAAGATTTAGTGAACAGAGAATAATGGAGCTTAGCATCTGACATCACTTTTTTACACTGATTTCTTAAAATTTTAAATAGCTGTTTGTTCTCAAGGGAGTTATTCTTTTGAAAAATATGAAATATGGTAATGATTACTTTTAGTTATAGCAGCTGCACTATAAGGTGAAAACCATGGAGTAGAACCAGGCTTGACTTGGTACTGACGAAAAGGAATAAAAGCTTTCATTCCTGCCTGAATCCAGGAGGTTGTGTATGAACCTTTTACCTCTGATTTTGATAAAATTTGCTATAAATATAAATAAGTATAATTTATTTATAGTTTTTAATGAAATTTTTAGTTTCATATGTCATCAAAAGCAGTCTAAAATATAAATAAACCACAAATACTTTTTTTTATGAGCCACTCTAAAGCATGTTTTACAAATAATATTTGTTTATCACAAATAATATTTGTTTATCATAAATTTTTTAACACAATGTGATCCAAAAGACATGATTTTTGTTATTATTAAGCTAACTTTTTCTTATGAATTAATGATCAAAAGAAAGTGATATTGTGTGTCTAAAATGTCAGTTTCAATTGAGTGTTCGAATTAAAATCATTTCTAAATGAAACACCATTCAACTCTGATGTAAATGAAACACCATTCAACTCTGATGTAAATGAAACACCGTTCAACTCTGATGTAAATGAAACACCATTCAACTCTGATGTAAATGAAACACCATTCAACTCTGATGTAAATGAAACACCATTCAACTCTGATGTAAATGAAACACCATTCAACTCTGATGTAAATGAAACACCATTCAACTCTGATGTAAATGAAACACCATTCAACTCTGATGTAAATTTTTTGTATAAGTAAAGATAATAACAATTGTAATCATAAAAGTTTGAGGTTTGACTTTGGCGGTTAATGCAACAGTGATGAAAGCAATAAAAAACTTCTTCATTAAATTCTAAAGTCATTGTAAGACCATTAGGACTACTGGAGGTTGATTAAGAACAAGGAAAAAAATTTGTTGTTTGGTTGATGTTTCTTAAAATGCTATAGTAGACTAGTGGAGGTCTTGGAATGATGAGTTCAAAAAAAAAAAGTTATTTTTTTTTTAGTAATGTTTTTATTTTCCTTGACTCAATAGATTATTAAGTTTTTATAAGGAATATTTTTTCTTAACAATCAATATTCTATTTATAAAGTTGTTAAAGCACATCAAATTTTCTAGACAACATCTGATGAGTTTTATCGACTAACTTCACTATACATTATAATGACTAATTATTTATACATTTTAATACTTATAAGGTTTTCAAGATATTTTATTAATGGAAAATTTATGAATGTAATTTTTTTAATAATTTTTTATAGTTTTTATTTGCAATTGATCCTTCACTACAACCAAGAGCATTTAATTTATATCAGAAAATAACTTCAAACACTATTGGTGAAGTATTTCTCATTCCATCTCTACTCAAGTTTTATATTGGTAATTTATAATTTTTTTAATTTTCTTAGACAATTCTTATCACTGGGTATCATTTAGTTTTTTTTTTTTATCATTACTTTACACATTTAAAAAAAATACTTTTTAATGGCTTCTAACAGTTTTAAATTAGCATTTGGCTTGATTTCTTTTTAAAATTTAATTAATTTGCATTTCTATTCTTTTTTCTGTTAAAAAAATTACCCAAAATTATTTTACAAAAGTTTCTTCTAAATAAATAAGTTTTAAAGAATAATAAAGCAAAATGAAACAAGTTATTTGCAACTTTTAGACTGTATTTGAAACTCAAAAACTGTATTATAATAAAAAATATGATAAAAAAGAGTTTTTTCATTAAATTACTTTAACACATTTTTTATTATTTTTTATTACAGATTACTTTGACATATTTTTACTTAATATCATATTTAACATTGCTATCGCAGATGTGGAAACAATAAGGAATATATTTAGAAAATAAATTGAAACAAAAATAAATATAAAAATAATTTATATGATTGCATTTAGCATGAAACTTATAGTTAAAAAAAATACGTAGTTTTATCTATAAAAAAAAATTTATAAATACAGCTCTGTTTTAACTCAATTTATTTTAATTTACATTAGTTCATCAAGCACTCTCCTGAAGATTTATGCAAGCACAAATATATATATATATATATATATATATATATATATATATATATATATATATATATATATATATATATATATATATATATATATAGTTTGTAAATTAGTATGATCTATTTCATGTTAAATCAACGTGAAATTATTTTTTAGTAATTTAAATTGTACATGCTGCCATGAATCCATGAATGAATGTCCCCATTGGACATCACTGGTTTTCCCCTTTTAGTTTTAAGTTTTGATTTAGAATCCAAAATAACATTCAATATTTTGCTTATAATAAGTTCAAATACATTTCTTTTGAGTTGAATTTAAAATCTTTTCAATTTCGAACAACAACCTCAGTCAGGGGGCGTGCGAAAAAAACAAAAGAAACCTTTTTGCTTTAGATTTACATCACATTTTGCTGATTAGTTATTTTATAAGCTTTTCTTAATATGCTGAAAAAATAAAAAAATTTATTTAATTCATTCAGTTAATTCTTATTTTGACTTTTTAACCCTCAACCCTTTCAACCTTCCACTGCCCTGAGGCTAGCTTTCTAATTTTTGACTCTTAGGTTAACAAAAAAAGAAAAATTTTACCTTTAAAAAAGTAAGAAAAGTACATAAGGGGTAGAAATTAATTTAGATTTGAAATTTTTTTTGAGTTTATATTGCTAAACTCAATAATATTTTGTTATACAATATTTTTAATTTAATTTTAACCAAGATTTCAAAATAAGTTTCCTTTTTTCTTTTAATCAATACCAGTTTTTGAATTTAAATACACTCAAATTCAGAAAACACTGATACTGATTCATCATCGCTCAGCAGTCTCTCATTGTACAAGCAAGTAAAGGGTTTTCGTGATAATTGTTTCTTTTTTCCAAAAGCTGTTGATATAACAACTCTTTAAAAAAATCCATTCCAACTGAATCTGTATTGTAACATAACGTATTGTCAGGAATTCTTGGAGAAAATAATTTCACAAATAGGGCGTGTTAGTTTTGGACATTTGGCTTTGTAAAATGGTTTGATATGTTAAGAAAAATTTAGGAACATACTCAACTCCGTCTTAATAACTTTAAAAGGTGAAGGTTTCCTACGACACATATGAAATTCTTCCATACAATTTATTGGTAGCTCTGCTAGAACCTTTTGGTTAACTAAAACCATATCACGGACATACTCCATGTAGCTGTGGCTCCTCCAGGAATGATAGGATGATTCATTGAAATCATTTCTTATTCACTACATTAAAGTGTAAAAAACGAATCATAGTCCAATTCTTATTTTAGCCAACAAATGAATCAAAAAAAAGCTGCAAATGTGATACATTTTATGGTAAAATGTAGTCAAAATAGTGCTCTAGCATGCTTACTACATTATCTGCTCCCTTTTTTCTGTAAGTTTCATCGTAACAAAACAAGTCACTGTTTGATCCTAAGCGGTATATAATGCGTCTAATAATAAATGTTAATAATAAATGTTGTTTGTAGAAACATTAGGACAACTCATATTTTTAGCAAAGTCAAATGCAAGAGCTGCATGACCAGTTTTTGCATTACAATGTGCTTCTTTCTTTGTGGCATAAAACAACTCAACTCTCTGCAAGTGAAGCTCTTTTTCTTGATGGCTCTTGTTGAGTTGTTCTAGAGAGGTACTTTGGTTTTTAAAAATAATATTGAACTTGTCAAATGTTGAGCATATATCTTTACGATGATAACCAAAGCTATTGTTAAATTTATAAATATTTTGTAGTTTTATTGACAAACTTTATTTTGTGGATAGCACTCTTTTTACATATCGTACATTTTTGTTAAATTAAGATCCTCTAATAAATACAGCTTTTTAGTGTCATGTAATGCATTATGACTTTTTCGTCTCTTAAACGACTTGATATGATCAATAATACTATTTACAATATGGTCTGAAAAGGCTAGAGGTCCATTTTTTATGTTTTCCTTGCTGGTTTTTAGGAGAAATTCCTTAAAAATAATCAAATATACAAGCTTTATAATGTTTTATTAACTTAACTAAATCAAACTATTAACTTTTAAGCTCATATAAAATTTTGTTGTTATTTTTGAGAGAGAAGCTTTGTTTAAAAACATTTGTCATTTGTTCATTATTTATTTTATTTGAATGACTAGTTAGTAAATAGATAAATAAAAAATGTTTATTTCTGTTTACTTACCTAGAGTCTACCTAGAGCAAGAGATCCTCTTATTCTTTTCATTCTTGATTTTTCAATTTCAAAAATTGATAAAATAACATTGATACATAATGCAAACTGGAACTATATGATACATAATGCAAACTAGAACTCCAACAGTATTATTATCTCATCTCGCTTTGATGTTATAAGAGAATAAGTGGTCATGAAGAAATCTTTTTGTTGAGGTCTTCTTTGCTTAACACTTAAAACCTCAATCATTGAAGCAAGAAAGCTATCTTGTTGATTTTGCATTTTGTTAAAGTATAAAAGTAAAAACTTGCTCTCTTCTTTCCGTGTAATTGCAACGCTTGCAATTACATGGAAAGTCCATTGTATGTGAAGATAATTCTTCATTTTTGTCTCATTCCCACTTTCGAGCAAGTTTTTTTTTTTGTTTTTACCCTGGAATTTCTGTAGTATCTGGATTTTGACATTTATCTGCCATTTTTCTGATAATAAAGTTTTTTTTTGTAAAATCAAATTTGATCTCTTTTTTTTTTGATATCCATCTTTTAAATAATGCACGAACTTGCCTACAATATAGTAGGGATAATAACTCAAAAATTGTTAATATGTGACATCACTGGTTTTCCCCTTGGACCCTTAATATATATATATATATATATATATATATATATATATATATATATATATATATATATATATATATATATATATATATATATATATATATATATATATATATATATATATATATATATATTAGGGTGTTGACTTTTTGGTCAATTTTTGGTATCTCCAGTTTCCATTATAAAAAACAGATGAACTTTGGTTTGAAAGTAACTGAAAAGTCATTAGTTTTATTTAATTTTTGAAAAAGGTCACCCACCATGACCCTTGATTACACACTGGCTCCCATATATTAGTATTTTTTTTTTTTTTCAAAAATATATCAATCTAGATCTCAAAAGAACCAGAATTTTATAGTAGAAAGATAATATAGAAACATTGCAAAAAAAAATTGCAAAAAAATGTCATAAAAACAACCTTTTTAATTTTTAGTTTAAAATTGTTTTTTTATATAAAATTTAAGAATTTTATTTTCATTTAAAACCATAATTATTACTGAAATCTCTATGAAATTCTGGTTTTTTTGAGACCAAGGTTAATATAATTTTGAAAATATATATATATATATATAATATATATATAGGGGATTAGGGGCCAATCGATACAAAGCTAATAAAGCAGCTATTACACTAATTATGCAAATAAGATTTAAGAAATAACGTCTAATGTAAAATTGAATAGACACGTTGATACAGACCACTTGGGGCAAATTGATACACTGTATCATCTTACCCTTTTGGTAAAGCATTTGAATATGGCCGAAAATATTTTTGTTTATGTATTTGCATTAATGCAATGAAATTGTTTGGTGTAAACTAATGTGTTTTTTTTCTTGCAGAGAATAGGTAAATAGGCATAATAAAATAGTGTTAGGCCTACAGCCTAATTATTATTAATACCACTATTTAAAACAATAATAATGTATAATAGTAACTAAAAAGTTTATTACCAAGTTATGGCTAGGGCAGCTAGGGGAGTTATAGGGTTTTGCTAGGTCTTACCTTGGATCTATTAATATTATGGCACACATTTTTAGACAATAATATTACTTTTCATCATGTCATCAATAACTTTTTTTTGTTACTTATGATTTTGTATCGGCTAAACAAAAAGCATATTACTATTACCATAAAATCTTGACTATAAGCCTCTCTTTTAATATATAGGCCAATGTAAAAGCCACAACTTAACTTTGGAAGGCAAAAAGCAAGTCAAATTTATGTTAACTGTGTAGCCATCTTTTTTTTAGTTTTTTTACTTAATCTTTTGTATATGTTTTCTTTTGTGTTTATTCACCTAATCTTAATTAGTTTGTTTGGTTACTTAATTAGTTTTTTAAAGCTTCATTTTCAAGTCTTATTAGATGTATCAACTTGACCCATGGTGTGTATCAACTTGCCCCAGCATGGGGCAGGTTAATACACAAATCTTTACCTTACTTTTTGTACTTTATATATACATATAAAGTAGTAGAAAATCACTTAACAAAAATTTTTTTCATTTAACACTGTGTTGCATCAATATAGACTCATCAGAAAATTTATGTTAATTTTTTTGTTAGTTTAAAATTTGGGTTTGTTTGTTATTGTTTTTGTTTTTTTTGTTACTTCACTATTTTTTCTTTGTCTTTTGGGTTTGTTTGTTTTTTTATTTTTTTTATTTTTGTTACTTCACTATTTTTTCTTTGTCTTTTTTTTTAATTTATTTAAAACAATCTTTTTTAGATGTTGAAACAACAGGAAGTTCAAGTGAATTCTATGATAAGTTTGGAATTCGCTTTCATATATCTGTGATCTTAAAAGGTTTATGGAAAAAACCAATGCACAAACTTGCAATCGTAAAAGAGAGCAGGTTTTTAACCAATTATTTTAAATATGTATTGTGTATGTATTTAACACATATTCAATCTCAAATATGTATTTTGTATGTATTTAACACACATTTAATCTCAAAAATATAGTGCAAATTTTTTTTTACATTTTTTTTTTTTTTTTTTTATAACTATAATACTATAATAAACAAAAAACAACAAAATTTTCAATTTTATAGAAAATAAATTTTTGGTTCTTATTTATTTTTAGACATAAATATGTGTTCTAATCCACAATTCTGTTTTTCAGACATTAGAACCTCAGATTATGTTACTTTAAATGTTTAAAATAAATTTTTTTTCAAATTTAGCACTGATAATTTTACTCGTTTCATCAATATGTTAATAAATGATACAACATATTTACTGGATGAATCTATAGACACACTGAGAAATATTCGTGATATAGAAGATGCTATGGCTAATACCAAGGAATGGGAACAACTTTCTAGTGAAGTGCGCCAAACAAAACAACGCCAGTTAGCTACAGATGAGCGACAGTGCAAATCTTATTTAACACTTGCTACAGAAACTGTGGATATGCTTCATTATTTGACTGCTGAGATTAAGCAACCTTTCTTGCAACAGGTATGCAAAAAGTAATGCATTAAAAAAAAATATTTTGTTCGTAAATTACTAACTGGTTTGTGTACAATATATACAATACATAACAAAATATATATATATATATATATATATATATATGTATATATATATATATATATATATATATATATATGTATATATATATATATATATATATATATATATATATATATATATATATATATATATATATATATATATATATATATATATATATATATATATATATATACAGTCTTCTCACACGCCCACACGCCAATACTATGGCTGGCACTTTTTTAAGCGCTTGCAAAAAAATTTCAAGCGTGTTTTTAAATAGCAACAAATCTTTTTATTTCATCAAATTCGTATAAAAGAGATACAAAATACAAGTAATTTTAAAAATCGTGTATGTTAGACAAATAGTTATTGTCCGTCGAGCGCTTTTTCATGCACTTGTGGTAAATTTCAAACAGAGAGAAGACTGTATATATATTTAAACAAACTGAAATTTGTTTCATTTCTGGGGTTGTGCTTTTTTATTTTATGCATTTATATTAGAACTCATGCTCAGGGACAAATGAAATTAACTCTGCAATATAATAGTTGAATATAATTTTATTATAAAAGATTGAATTTATCTTATTTTTTGAATATAATTCGACTATTTTAGGATAATATAATATAATACAAGATAGTCAGAGTGTAAGGTAGTACAAGATAGTCAGAGTGCAGGGTAGTTCAAGATAGTCAGAGTGCAAGGTAGTACAAGATAGTCAGAATGCAAGGTGGTACAAGATAGTCAGAGTGCAAGGTAGTACAAGATATAAGTGAAGTAATTAGAACTAACAAAAAAAATGTAAAATAAAGTTCAATATTTATCATCATACAAGTTGTGATTATGGTTTATCAATGAAATATTGTTTATAAATAGGATATTGTAATTTCAAATATGAAATTTCATTTGTTTTCATTATTTTCTTCAATGTGAGTGGCTTTGAATATTAGAATTTTTTAAGTTGTATAGATTTAATGGTTTGGTGAGTGTTACAAAAGAGCTAAAGAAAAAAAATTCAATTATATAACATCTTTTAGATGTATCATTTATGTAGATAAATAGAATTGCACAGTCTGAAATTCATGTTTGTAACTGCCACTTTTCTTTTCAATAAAATGCATAGAGTGTTGAGATAAGTTTCTTATTAAAGCAAAGCCATTTCATTTATTTGGAAACCATTATTTGTATGAACTTTTTTAATATCATTTTTTTTTACTCATTTCATCAATATGTTAATGAATGATACAACATATATACTGGATGAATCTATAGACACACTGGGAAATATAGAAATAAGAAAATATTGAAACTTAAACATAATAATGGTAAACTCACAAACAACTGTTGAAACTCACAAACCTTTGCAGAATTATTAGAACCTATTAAAAAAGTGAGAATGTTACTCATCTTTAATAATGAATTTGATGCTCTTGCTTCTACACTTTATTTATTGATCAGCCTGCCAATCTTTACTTGGCTGCTCGTTTTTACAACCTTCAACTTTTCAAGTCTTCTATCAACCATTTCCTTGCACTTTAACAGTAGTCTTTGTTTTTTAACTCCCAACTTAATAGACCACTATTAAGTTGGACATTGTTTTTAAAGACCACTATTAAGTTCTTGCACATTGTTTTTAAAGATGAAATCAATTATGGTTATAAAGCTGGAACAAAGTAAAACAAACAAATTTATAAATTTATTGTTATAAAGCTGGAACAAAGTAAAACAAACAAATTTATAAAATTATGGTTATAAAGCTGGAACAAAGTAAACGAAACAAATTTATAAAATTATGGTTATAAAGCTGGAACAAAGTAAAACAAACAAATTTATAAAAAACATACATGTAAAATAATATGTAAATGTAAAGTTTATGTAAAAAGTATAAAATAGCAAGAGTAATTAGTCAGTAATAAAACAAATAAGAAATATTTAACAATAAAACAAAAAGAATTCTTAAAACAGAACTTTAAGGTGGTGGATGACCAAATAAAACACTCTACATACTGATTATAAATTATTAGATAAGTAAAAAGAATCTTTTTTTACATATCTAATAATTTATTATATTATTAATAATCTACTGGAAGAAATGCAATTAGTGAATTTTAATCTGGATATGTTATGTCCTTCTCTTTTCAAAAAGTTATATTTACATAATTTTTATCTACCAAGTATAAATGTATACTTGTGTATGTAGTTAAGTATATATATGTATGAATGTATACATACAATATATGCTTAACTACATACACAATATTGAGTATACATACAATATGCATGCATGTATATTGTATGCATACTCCATATGTTTTCTATTGATTGTATTTTTTCTATAGGAACTTGGGGTACGTTTATCTGTCATGCTAAATTATAATGTCAAGCAATTAACAGGTGACAAATATAAAAATTTAAAGGTATATATATATTTTTTTACACTGTATTTTCACATTGTTTTTAAATATAATTATTTTTATAATATTTAACTTTTTATTTAAAGGTAAGAAACCCTGAAAAATATGGGTTTGAACCTAAGAAGTTGTTGGATCAAATAGTTGACATATATTTGCATTTGGATTCTGACGAGTTTGCTCAAGCTGTTGCTGCAGATGAAGTAAGATTATTATTTTTAACATTTTTTAAATAATTACTTTATCTTGGTTAAAATAAAGCATTTTCAGAAAAAACAAAGATAATAAAATTGAACTTTAAATTTTTGCGTTTTGATTATATTTTACTCAGGATACTTAGTCTGCAAAATACCATATGCAAGCCCTCCTGGAAATTGCGCCTTGTTTCCACGTTTTAAGTAATTTTTTAGACAACTTGACCATGTTTTTATATAGTAAGCGTTTTAATAATTTGTGTCAAGAAATTATTAAAACGCTTGTCTATAAAAAACTATAGAGAGTAAAACAGCAGTACTCAAAGAAAGGAAACGAATACTATAAGAAATAGAATATCTAAACAAAAAAACTAAAAAAAAAAATTGAAAATTTAAAAAAATAAAATTTTGTCAAAAACAATATATGCCTAAATATTCAACTGTTTTTGGATATTTTTTTTTTTTTAATTTTTTTTTTTTTTAATTGGATGTTGTTTTACACTTCCAAAGTTAATACAAGTCGAGTAAAAAAGTAGTTAAGTTTATTACAAAAATAAAAATAATTTTTTGATATACAATTTATTCGCGAGTATATTATTTGCGCTATTATATATTATTAGTTGTATATTATTTGCGCTAAAAATACAGACAATTGTAAAATTTGTTTTTCAAATGTTTTTGCTAAACTTTACTGTTTTTATCAATGCACAGGAAAGCAAGTAAACTAATTGCTTTTTATTTGTAAAAAAAAAAAATTTATGTAAAAAAATGTTCAAATATAAAATATTTGGTTGTTTTCACTACCCTCATTGAAATAGTCTGCACTTTCGTTGGATTCTCCAAGTTGTGCATTTAATCCCGATAGCTTATTTCCTGCTAAACTAATGTTATTGACGATGCTACAAAAGCTCATAGTGCTTTGTACTGAACTTTTTAACTAGATTTAGTAGTTTATTTAAAACATTTTTGTAAGTGTTTTAATACCTTTTTACAAACAGAGCAATTGTTATGTTCATCATCTCTAGTATTTTGTATTAACATTAGATATTGGGCAATATAAAGAATACACTTTCAGATAAGCATCAAATGTGATAAATACATTTATACAAAAAAACCATGAAATATGTTTAATTTTTCCTGTCATTACAAAATTTGTTAATCAAATAATATATTTTACAAATAAATAGCAAACAAATAAAATTATCTTATTTTCCTATTTTTCTTATTTCTTATTTTCTTATTTTCCTAGTATTGAGAAAAAATCTCAAATATAGTAAAATCATTTTTAAAAGCGAAAAGACTTTAAAACAAATAAATGTAAGAAAAAAAAATTAACAAAATTTCTCATAGTTCAAGCATAATTAGAAAATTAGTTTCTTAATTATACAGGCTGATAAAAATCATGAATAAATTGCATATTAAAAATTTCAATTATTGTTAAATTTTTATAAAATATGTTTTTTTCCTTAACTTGTATTAAATTTGGTAGCTAAAATTAACAACCACCCTAAATAAAAGAATACAGTTGGATAAAAATTAAAAAAAAAAAATTATTTTAGATTTTCTTTTTTCAAATTATTAAATTTTCCTAGTTTATTTAATTAATATTTCATATTTCTTTAGATATTTGTATCCTTTTTTTATAATTTTTTTTTTTTATCTTAGTAAATAAGTTTAAATTTGGTGTGAATTATTGAAACACTTTCAAGCATTTCAATTTAACTTTTTTAAAAAAGTTTAAAGATGCAAACTGTTGTGGTCAGTGTGTCTAAAAGTATTATTTTAAATATGGACGAACAAGGCATGCGACTGCATGCCCTTCCGGGAAAGGCTTTGTATGCAAACATTTAAATCTGAACTTTTCTAAAAACTAAAAAAATAAGATTCAAAGTTTTAAATTATAAAAGTTTATGGGAGGAAGGAGAAAGTTTAAAATAAGGATTTGAAAACTGTTATGTCATAAAGCTACAATTAACTTTTATCACATTCATGTAATTTGTTTACAACATAAACACAGCAAATTTATGTTTTTATTAAATTCAAAACTTGTAACACATAAAAAACAGAATATATCGGGTGTACATGGAAAAATCTGGTCAAATTTAAATTAAGATTTCTCTAAAACCACAAATTTAATTTCTTTTATTTTTTACATCAAACACTACTACCTTATCTTTAATTTTGTTGATAAACTTATTTACAAATCAATGACTTGCAAAGAGTTTTAAAAACAAATCGAGGTGCCTAAAAAAGTTGTGAATTTTTCTTGCCAAAATCCATCAACTTCATATTGCTTGATTGTTTAATGTACCAAAATCACGTACAAGGTACCAATGTCCCAAAATCTACAGTCAACGTACCAAAATCACGTACAACATACCAATTTCCCAAAATCTACAGTCAAAAAAAGCTTAACTTGACTGGCGGGAGACAATTTAAAAAAAAATGAATTTTATGGGGAATAGAATTCTTAACAAAAAATAAAAAATCTTAACTAAAGAAAAATAAATTGCGTTTAGAATTCATAATTTCTAAACTTTGCTTTTTTATAATTTTTTTATAAAATTAGGCAACACTGTGTTTTATGTAAAGTAACAACTTAACAATCTTTTTATAAGGAAAAAAAAACATTCTTCAATTTATCAAAGAGTATAATCTTTTATTACTATCTTTTATTTATGTTTTGTTTCAACAAGTTTTAAATAAAATTTTTAATAAACAAAAAATCAATATTTTTTTATAACCAATTCATTCTATGCAAAGTTTTAAATATTTGATAAAATTCTTCTTAGAAAGATGAACAAAGAAATCATTGAGTTACAATAAAAATATTAAAATGATTTTTTTGTTTAATCTTTTAATTTTCAAAAAAAATTCCACAACGTGCCAGACCCCTGAATCAGCAGTATATAATGTATCCGAACTGCAAACTAAGTATGTATACTTAGTATACTATACGTATGTATATATACATACTAAGTATGTATATATACATACATACATATATATATGTATGTATATATACATACGTATATAAGTATGTATATATACATACTTATAAACAGTATGTATATATATGTATATATACATACTTATATATTTATATGTATATATACATACTTGCATACAGTATGTATATATATAAGTATGTATATATACATACATTAAGTATGTATATATACATACATACATAAGTATATATACATACATACGTATGTATATACATATGTATGTATATATACATACGCATGTATATATGCATAAGTATACATAAGTATGTATACTTATGTATACTATACTATACAATAAGAATGTATACTTAGTATACTAGTATACTAAGTATACATACAATAACTAAACTATCTGTTGTGTATGGCATTAACTGTATAAGTAAAAAAAAAAAATTTACTTTTTGATGAAATTTTGTAGTATATCTCATACTACACATGTGGACAACAAAATTAAGAAAACATTACAAATTTTACTATTTAATCGTAAATTTCACATCTCGTTTTTTGACTTCAGAAGCTTATTTGAAAAACTTCAGAATGCTTTTGTTTAAAATGTTCAAATTTAACATATAGTTTTAATGCCATGCACTACAGATATATTAGAAATTAATATATAAGGGACATATTACATTATAATTTAATTATTATTTCATTTTGTATTTTGCAATCTAACAGCAAGTTTTTATTGCATCAAATTATTTGAAAGCAAACTTTTATGACTAAATTAAAAAGTTAAAAATATTTTATAAAAATGAATTAGTCAGTTGTTAATTTAAACAGTCAAGATACTCGACTAGTAAAATAAATAATATAATAGAGTAAATAAAAAAATTATCATTATTGATATTTCCGTAAAGTATCTGGTCTGCAAGATAAACAATTAGATTATTTAAAGAGAAAACACCAAAGATCTTAATACGGGCTACAAGCAATCTTTTAAAATTTATTTAAGATGTAATATGCCTATCAAGATTTTATATGTTATATAATTTAATATTATATAATTGTACATATTATGGAATCCTAATTTTAGATTTAATTTCAGACCTATTAAATCTCAAAACCTTGAAAGCTATTTTTAAGTGAGGACTTTGCTCGCTGCTGGAATTATTTTATCTATTGCACAGACTATTAAACAATAGAATATACCTCAAGAAAATAGAAGAAAAAGAGCTACACCTAGCAGCGTATCAAATTATGTACTTTTACTTATCAAGTGGAAAACTTTATAACTTTGAGTGAAAAAAACATCTTATTTAAGAAATTAATATAAATTTATAAGTTTAAACCGTGTTTAAAGTACTTTTTTTTACAAAATTTCTATAATCACATCCAAATTAAGGACATTTTTTAATTTTATTTAAAACAATTTGAAGCAAACCTACCTAGCAAAATCCTATGTTTAAAAAGTGACATAATACAAGTCTTAAACTCTGTTCTATACAGCAACAACAAAAAACTTTAAGAAATTTTTTTAAAACACAACTAGAAGTAGTTATATACAAAATTAAATTTTTATTTGTTTCATTTCATTTAAAGTTATAAATTGTCAAAGATGATATTTTTATTAAAAATTTTGTTTTAAGTTTAACTAATTCGCCTTAACTATGTTGAGAATGAATTATATTCACACTTTGTAGACTTTACTATGTCAAGATAACACATAACACGCATAACTTTTTGTGTGTAACATTCAAATGAATAAAAAAAGATATTACCTAAAAATACTCAAGTTATAAATAAAATTAAAATTATTTTTAGTAAAAGTAATTTGATTTAAGTTTTACTAATTTGCCTAAAAATAAAAATGACATGCATTGGACTGCATTTTTACATTGTTTCAAACCTTTCTTGATGATACCTCTAATAAATAAGAAATTGTTTAACTAATACCATAAGTACAAATTATTTACTAAAGTTTTATTAAATCTAAACTTGTTTTCTATAATTTATTTAAGATATGAGCATAAACATGTGTTATTTATTTTAGTTAGGTTGCAAATTCCTATATCATGACTAAATTCTCTATCATGCAATATTGTTATAATTTTTAACAAGAGGTCTTCCATGGGTGGAGAAATAGACACAAAACTTTCTCTTATTGATATTTATAAACTTTTATGTTATAAATAAATTTATTAGTTGTATAAAAGTAAATATTCAAGTTGTTCTCAAAAAATATAATGTCAAGGTTTACTTTACATTTATATATATATATATATATATATATATATATTGTTTATACAAATTTTTATATATATATATATTGTTTATACAAATTTTCGTTTATAAGCTTGTTTTTTATATATATATGTTAGCGCTCCTACAGAAAAGAACTTTTTGATGACTGTATAACGTTGTTACAAAGAACAGTTCTTAAATCACAGGTATTCATTTTCTATAAAAGCATATGATTGTTATACTGAATGTATAAAAAGTTTTCTACAAAATTATTTTTTAAGGTTTTTAACAAATTTAAATTATATATAAAATCTCTTCATTATAAAACTAACGTGTTAAAAAATGTGTGCTGTATGACTTTTACACAAATGGTGGGCAAATTTTTATATTTTTTTAATTATTTTTATTGATTTAAAAAACTCAATGTAAAAATTGTAGAATAAAATTGTAATATAAATTGTAAACAAAATTGTAATATAAATTGCAATAAAATAAAATTGTAGTATTAAAATTATTATTTCCATGTAATAAAAAAAAATAATAATTTATGGCAACCATAAACCGTAATTTTTTTTTTTATAAGATGGTCTCTTAAATTAGGAAATATAAAAGATATAAAAATTATTAAATTTTTTGACAATTTAAAACAAGGGCTGATCCATAGGAGGGCCTTCCTCTTCCCCCATTCGATATTTTAAAAAGAATTTTTTTGTAAATTTATGTGTAAGTTTAACTTAGTAATTGTTTGACAATGTAAGTAAATTAAGGAGACTGTTTAAATGTGATAAAAACTTTTAATGAGTTTGTGAAGTGGAAAAAAAATTGGACTAGAAGGATATGAATATGATATATAATGTAATTTCATAGTTACATAGATTAAGACAGTGAAAGACTAATATTCTAAAAAATTAAATAATAAACCTCCAAACCCTCCCCCTCCCCCTCTCCTACTTTACTAGAAAGTTTGGATAAACTAAATCAAAGTTCTTCTACCCCGCCTCCTACCTCCCCCCCCCCCCTCCCCCCTTATTCTTCCCTAAATGATTCTTAAATGACACTGAGTTAAAAAAGATTTAAAAATCGTCCCTGACTTACAGATAGATATATGAATAAATAAAAATTAGATATTAAGTTATGTGCTGTAATATTTCAAAGGTATTTTATTTTTTTTAAACCACGATCATAAAATTAACAATTAAATGTTTATTGATTTAATGTTTATTAATTTAATGTTTAATAATAACATTCTAAAATTGTTTTCTTACTTAAGACTCAGTTAGAGCAGCTACGTTGCTTTGCAGATAGAGTAGAACGAATTATTATAGAAAACTACAAAAATGCAATCGATCTAGATGATGCTCCTGACGAATTTAAAGGTAAAATTTTATACATTTGCCAGAACTGCGTTCAATTAAACAAAAATCAAACAAAGTTAATAGCTTAACCAAAAAAAAAAAGTGATATGAAAATTTTTTCTTTTTTTTTAAGATCCTTTAATCGATACTGTCATGTTTGATCCAGTGATCCTGCCTAGCGGTACAATTATGGATAGATCAGTTATTTTGAGACATTTACTTAACTCCAATACTGACCCTTTCAATAGACAAAAATTAACTGAAGATATGCTTAAACCAGGTTAGTATTTAATATCTAATAATATCTTAACTATTTTTACATTTGCTTCGGATTCTTGTTTAATTGTGTTATTATTATAATTAATTTTAAATAGACATTGTAACTATAGTAACTATATTTGCTATAAATTATTGGTATTTATTACTAGTTTTTTGAATTTTTTAGCAAGCGAGTTGAAAGAAAAGATACAAGCATGGATAGAACTGAAGAAGTCAAAAAAACATAACGAGAACTTGAGTGTTTATAAAGAACAATACGAATTGTATAATTAAGTAAAGTTATTTTATGTGTTTATATAATTATAATTAATTTAACATTAATTTCAATAAAAACTTTATTTATTATGTTTGCAGCCAATTTATTTTGTAAAAAAATTCATTTTAAATCCCGACGGCTTTTTTAAACGCTAGTTTCCAGAATATGGCTATGAACTATAAAAACTGGCTAATGAAAAGGCTTTGCCATAAAAGTAGTTATGTTACTACACTATCTGTACTAATAACTTATGTTATTAGATATGCAGACAATGTTTTCAACGGTATTTTGACTCAAGTCTTATTTTGTTTATTCACATTTCTCCAGTTTTGTTCTTCCACCTGATATAAAAAGTATTTTACCACTATAAAATTAAACTGTACAAAAATTGTGTACTTGTTAAATAAAACACCTATCGCCTCTAACATTGTCGTAAGAACAGACAGTCTAGCATATTGCGCAAAATTCAGTTGTTTTCAAACGATAGAAATAGAAAGATTTTTTAACAAATACGTCATTAGAAAGAGTGTGCGAGCTGAGCATTTGTTCCATAGGCCAAGTTGCTTCAGATGAACAATAAAAGAAATACTTCTCAATCAATAAGTTTCCGTGTTTCTTGTCATTATTTTTTTATTCGATAAAAATTAAATTCTATTTATTATTCTGAACTTTATGATTTCAACAGTTTCTTCGTGTGTTTTTTGACACGGAAGTTTCCATATTCATCAGGTGTTCACTATGGAAAAGTAAGCATAAACATTTGTTTTCAACAAGAAGAAACAGCTTTTTTCTTATTTTTCGCCTAATTTATGTGCTGATAATATTACAAAAAAATTGCTTGATCTAGGATCTATTTCGAGTAAAGATCCATATATGGACATAATATGTGTAACTAAAAAAGCAGATTTAATGTTAAAGTATTCAAACAAAAATAATGATGCAAATAAACTTAGACAAGATATACTTTGAATTTTGAAATTGCATAAAGCTGTTTCTATAAATTTAGATAAAGATCAGTTTAAAGCTCTAAAAGAACCTAAGTCAAGCAACACAGTATTTATCCTTTTGACTAAGGGACAGACTTTATTCGAATTAATAAAAATAATGTTCTTAAAAAAATGAAGTACACCTTGGAAAATCTAAAATCCTAAACTATGATTCAAATCAAAAACTCCTTTGCAAAGTTCAGAACACTTTACGAAATCTAAAAACAAAGTTTACAAAAAAATTAAGATCAATTTACCAAAATGACGCCACTTCTCCACGATTATATGGTGTCATCAAAGCACACAAACCAACTACCCAATGCATATTATAGTAAGTAAAATAGGGTCACCTACAATTAAATAACTTCTTGAATGTGCTCAATCATGCTATATCGATCCTGGTGAATTTCAATTTTTTTTCGATATAGTTAATCTTTACCCTTTAAAACTAGTTAAAGAATCAATCGATATTTTATTAGAACAAGTCCTTAGTTTTTATGTCTTTAATTAAACTATCGTTTCCAGAAATAAGAATACATTTATATTTGTGTTACATAAAAACAACATAAACACATTAATAGATATTGGGCCTATAGGTTAATCATTAATGGTAGTAATGGCGGAGAGTTTATGGCAACATTATAAAGAAAAAGTGTTAATGCAGGCACAATTTCCTACACCATCAATTTATGTAAAATTATTTATTATCTAGGATGCTATAAAAATGTGCAAATAAAGCCGCATTTCGCCACAATCCAAAAATAATTCATGGTGTTTTTAAAGAGCTTTATGCATTTGCATTTAAGTTTAATTTTGTTATGAGCATATGTTCAGCAAGAGGGCTCGATGAACGATATCAGAGTTATATAATTGATTTTTTGACTAGATTAAATAAAAAATGACAACATAATTTTTACTAATAAAAGTTTCATGCGTTTAGCAATCATCAGGTAAAATACATAGTATTTTTCGTTAAAAAATATAGTCAATAAACATCGTGATGTTCAAAAACAATTATAAAACGTTACTATTTGCAAGCTTGGTTTGGTTTTTTAATCTTTGGGCTCGTGGTTGTCAAGCAAGAACTTGTTTTCACGACGGCATATATATATATATATATATATATATATATATATATATATATATATATATATATATATATATATATATATATATATATATATATATATATATATATATATATATATATATATATAGTTTTTTTTTATCTTATGCGCCAAGATAGTATAGGTTTATATATATAGGCCTATACTATCTTGGCGCATAAGATAAAAAAAAACCATAATGAAATGTTATTTACATAAAAGTAAAAAAAAATTGCTTTTATTGATGAGGTATAAAATAAATTTACTTGTTTATATTTATAACAAGTTTCTTTTATTTATATTACCAAAGAATTATAAATTAATTAAGTTATCTCTTTACTTTGTTGGTCGGACCAACAAACAAAAAAATGAGATGAAATTTCATAAATTTCATTCATGCTTTTAGGATTATTTATAAAAAACTGCGTACAATCTAATATTAAAGCCTCATATAGATTTGTACATCAAAAAGATTACTTACAAACCTGGTTGAGTCTTGTAACATTTTAATGGAAGCAGTTTACCAAGTTTAGTTAATTATTTAAAATAATTAATTAAATTTGGTATTATTAAATTTATTATTATTAATAATTGATAAAAAATGATTTTGCCAACATTGTGTCGTTGTGTCACGCAACGACTTCTTTATAAGACTCATGCCTATGACAAAACTGGATTTCCACTTGACCTGCTAATGGACAACAATCAGTAATAATTGGAGAATAAACGTCCGTATAGAAAAGAGTGAAAAAAGCGTTTCTCAAGGATCACTTCTTGCATCACTGCTATATATGTTCTTCATCAATCACTTACCAGATTGCATTTATAACAATGTTTTTTTGATGTCTGACTATGAAATGCTGCAAGCGGACACCGACAGCGCTGTAAATTGGTCCCACAACTGCGTTGTAAATTTCAACGTCGAGAAGTGTAAAGTAATGCAAGTTGGCTGTCGCAAAAACTAATTAATAATGCCATAGTTGACTTTGACTGTAATGGATGCAATCTAGTTATAACATGCATTGAGCGTGACCTTGGAATACTAATATCTAACAACCTAAAAGTACAAGTAGAAGTATTTTGGGTTAGCAACTGAATGCTTGATTGTCTCAATAAGTTATTTTATTCGGCGTAAGTGCTCTCTAGCTATAAAATTTTTTTTACCAATTGTGAAAATAAAAAAAGAGTTTTTTATTTGTAAATTTCTCTACTTAAACGTGTCCAACTACGAACAATATTGTTAATTAAACATTTTAGTTATGATCAAAAATCTAAAATTCTTGGCTTAACATTCGAAGTTTGTTCCGTGGTCGAACTACATTCGAAGAACGCAGTGTCCGTATACTGAAATACAAAATTGCTTATCGTTTACAATTAAATTAAGAATGTGAAAACAGTTTCTTTAAGATTCTCATTCTTCTGGTTGAAAGAACAAGAACCGGTAAAAACAAAACCTGGTTAAATAGAAGGCAACTTTATAGAAGATGTTTTGCATCTTAATAGTTTGAAGGAGTGTTCAATTTTTACTAGTGGATTGCTTACTTTAGGTTTTCTCAACAACATATACTAAAAGGATCTATAGCTTTTTTTCCAACCTAAATGCATTCCAATTCAAATTCAGCTAAAAAGAAAGAAAAGAGTGATTTCAATATTATTCCAATAGAATTTGTTTAATAAAACAAATCAGTGAATATGCTATAAAAGTGTTATTAGATGCGGTTCTTGAAAATATGAATGTTAATTAACAGTATTACAAATAAAAACAGTCATTAAATTCTATAATTGTACATGCTTTTAAATTAAAAACATGCATGATTACAGGGGCGCATATATATATATATATATATATATATATATATATATATATATATATATATATATATATATATATATATATATATATATATATATATATATATATATATATATATATATATATATATATATATATATATATATATATATATATATATATATATATATATATATATATATATATATATATATATATATATATATATGTATATATATATATATATATATATATATATATATATATATATATATATATATATATATATATATATATATATATATATACATATATATATATACAAATGGGGAAACGCGCCTATGATGGCATACCGGTCATATTTTCACAAATATTGGTTATGACAAAAAAGTGATTAGACCAACATTTTTATAGTGAATTTACATTTGTTTTAGTAAAAGTACGTCCCTTATGCATAAGTATTGCTTTTATAATCAACAAAAATTGATTTTGGGATGTGCTGTTGTATTTTTAATCCCTTTAAATATTTAAGATTGTGATTTTATTATTAACTGCGCAGAAATGAAATTTTCATGCTTTTTATTTCCAAGTTTTGTGCATTTAATTATTTTGATTTTATCTTTTAAACAAGGCAGACATAGCTTGTTTAAATGAAAATGATGACTTTTTCCTATGATGGCATACTGACGAATTAGGTGTGTTGCAATATTGACGAGTTGAGAAAACCTTTTTTTTCTTCATAGAAACAACATATTTGTTAGTGAAGTAAAAAATAATTTTTACTTTAGTAAAAAAATTTTGGTTTAAAAAACAGATAAAACGCAATATCTCTTATGCGCATGCACGAAATCTTACACTGTTGCTGTGTAGCACAAAAGGGTCAATTAGGACGATTACTCGTAATTTCTGGCATTTCTGAGGCAAGACTCTAAGGTCAAATGAAATCATCGAGTTACCCTTGATGCTAACCAGCCTTATCTTTCCCTATGCCATCATAGGAGCAGTAGTTACCTATGATGGCATACTTGTGCTTTTTTTTTCAAATAAAAATAACCAATAAAAAAAATAAAGCTGATAAAAACTCATCGGGTTATTATTGTTCCACATGTAATAAAAAATGTATCCATATCAAAACTTTTGTTCTTGCTCTTCAGGTTACTGAATAATGAAGCTTCAAAGTTAAGTATGCCATCATAGGCGCCTTT